CAAATGTGAACTCCTGAGGAGGTTGGTAGTTCAAGGACATGAGTTTTTAAGTGGATTAAGTATTTAAGAAAGGGTGAACAGGTGAGAGTAGCTGATTGAAGTGCTATTTGGAAATTACATTATTCTAGACATGCTATCTGTTTTAGACTAATCAAGATGGTGTGATTGAAGAAGAGAAATTTGCTTGTGTTTTCTTCAGAGAGAGTGCTTCATTCTCCAGTATAAGGTTACTTGCAATGGTTTCAAATGAGTTAGATTTTTTTCTCTCAGCCTAGGTGCATAACCTTCACTAGCATTAATGTTTGCATCAAGAAGAACCTACCATCCCTTTCAGCCTCTCCCTTTTAAAATCATAGTGCATTAGTGCTATTGAATAAAGAATTTTCTGGAAACATTATCCAACTACTTGTATTGAATTTCCACTTCCAAGTTTAGCCTTCACGCCAACCTTCTGAGTGTTACTATTTTGTCCATAGAAACTTAGACTTTGGTACTACACCTGTGTATTTTGTGCCAGAATGAGAACAAAACCATGTTGTACTCAAATTGTGTATAGCAGATTTGCAATATTTGAAAGTGTAATTTATTTGTGTGTGGGACTGTGCAGGGTGCTCCTCTAACTGTAAAAATGATACTGATACAAGCAACCACGAACTAAATGCTCAGTGGACTTCAATTAGTTGCATTTCAATTACAGAGCTAATTAAACAGAACCAACCAAGAAGGCCTTGTGCATGTTGTATACAAAGTGAAACTGCTTCTCAGAAAGTGGTACACACTATGCTGAAGAATATGTGATAGAGTGTATTTAACAGATAATTGCTTTTACCCTGTAGTTTTCACTCTGCAGCTGTCAAGAAGGAGCATTCATGCGTGGTGTTTGTCACACCTGCTCTAATAACTGTTAAGAAATAGAGTATTGTAATTACTGAAACATATTATGAGGAAGAAACATTGTGAAATAACTACAGTGCTAGTTTTTTCAATACTCTGTGTCAGTTTCAAAAGTAAAGAAGGGCAGGAGAGTTGTATCTTGTCCCAGAAGAATCCTTTTAGACCAGGTGATAGAGTAAATCTTACTAAATGATTATTCAGATTAAATCAAAAGATAGACTCCTCAGTGAATCTCAGATACATGTTAATGATTCTTTTACTATAGTTTAAGAGTAAGTGTGGTAGTTTAGGCCCTGCTGGGATCCAAGACCATGCTGCCGTTGTCCCTCCCCCACCCTCAGACCGGACGGGGCAGGGAGTGAGATACAAACCCAGGGGTTGAGATAAGGATAAATTGAATACAACAGTGTGACAATTAATAAACCAAACAACAATAGCAATAACAGTAACAATAAACAGTAATAACAATGAACAGGACAAGAGATATACAGAGATATACCACAAGGATACAGCAGAGAAGGATAACGATGTTCCTGCGCTTGGGCGCCTGGACTTGACGTCAGCATGGTATTGAATAACCCAGCTAGACCTCCCTCCCCACTGCTAGGGAAACCCTATCCTAGCTGAACCAGGACAGTAAGCAAATGGAATAGAGTGGCCATAAGATTATTAGATCAACAATCAGCAAACTGGCCACACTAATGGTTGTTACTGAATAATTCTGACATTATCTTTGGAAGAATCTGTCCATGCAGGTGCACTTACCTACAAGCAGTATGCATCATGAGTGCTTTAGAGGTACAGAGTGCACTGAGACTGAGTGGAAGCACAGGCTGGTGCCTCTGTCTGGAACAAATGTGTTTGGTGGATGTTGTTTCTGAAAGTGTTGGTGACAGGTTCATCCAGCTTCTTGTTTTCTCCTTCTTGTTTGTATCATTGTATAGAGTACACATACAACTGAGGCATCCACTGACACCATGTCTTCTTGGGCTGAGAAATGTACATCTGCAGGTTAAGAGATTCCTCTTCCCATTCCCATCCCAACCCCACCTCCCTCCCAGAGGGTAGAGTCTAAAGAAGACAGACACAAGGTTGAGGGCAAGGGAGCATCACTATCCTAGGTGAGGAACTGAGTCAGGGAAAGTAGGAATGAACAGTCAACTTCCAGACAGAAACAGAGAGGGACTCGCTGGATCAAAGGGTGCTCTGTTCTTTTCCAGGCAATGCAAAATTGGTATACTTGAGATTTTTTGTTTTCTTTGAAGCCTGCCTTTGGCACAAGCCGGTAGGAAAATATACTTTGGCTTCAACAAAGTTCTTAGTACCCTGCTAATGTATAAGATTACTTATGTGTATTTGAGGATGGTGAAACTGCCTGGAGACAATTGCTCAGGTCTATCTGGGAATTTGATGTTGTGATGTAATGTTTCTATTTAGTTAGTAAATGGATTTGTAGGAATGCTAGATAATATGACATTTCACAGAGGAACCAGTTCTATGTCTTCAGGTATTCATAATATATTCTTGATGCTGCTGAGTGTTTAAAAAATGTGATATAATAGTAACTATTTTAGAAGAATGATTACATTTAGTCTTAGGTATCCCTCCACAATGAAGAGATGCCTGCAGACTTTATAAGGACATTGAAACAAGCAGTGCCAGTATTTATGGATTAGTTCAAACTAACAGTTGATGCTTTCCAACTGAGAAATGTGTAATCCTGTACCACTTAGTGCAAGCATGCAGAGATTGCAGTGGGAGTCAGCTGGGCTTAAAGTAAAATAATTTTTCATCAGAGTTTGGTTTAACTGTTTCATGAATTTGCATGTGAGTTTTATTTAATTTTTAAATTTTAAATAAACTTTGTTCTGAAAGTATTTGCATGTATCTCCCAAGTTCTTGTGCACATCTGAAACTGAATTCTGCTGTTGTTTTTCAATCAGTATCTCTGTCTCTTCCCACCGTGTTACTGTATGGAGTAGGAAAGAGGCAGGAAAAAACCCTGTGCAGCATATAGGTACAGTATGGAGGGGATTTAGTTCAGATCCTCAAGTGTCCTGCACTATTATGCTTGGGATGCATCTGTAGTGCCATGTGCTCTGGTCTGTCTGATGGCTAGTCTGCCAGGAATGAACAATGGTGAGTGAGAAGAGCAAATCAAAACTTTTAATTTCTGAATGCCTGTTTATAGTCATCTGGGAAGTATTTGGCAGTAGAGGGATATAGTATGGGAAATGCAGTACATTGAAGCCATAATTAATATGGCTTTCCCTTTAGAAAAAGAAAACCGTAAACTTTATTCTTTAACAATTCTGAGACTCATCCCTGTGTAGGTGAACCTTTGGCACATGTGACAGAATTGGACAAAGATCAGATCAGAGCAGATTCTAAGCAGACTATAAGAGGAAAATATGAAAGTTGATAGGGGTGGTGATGCAAAATACAAAAACTGTCATCCTCCCACTTGTGAAGGCATAACTTGGGAAAGAGAAAACATTTTATAATGTACTGTGTCAGCTGCAGGAATTTTTGAACTGAAGTAGGTTTTTTTCTCATGTATGAGAAACAAGGTAAGTCATTATATAGTATCTTTGTTTCTGGGTATAAAACACTGTTAAACACATCTTAATGCACAGGACATCAGTGTGAAAAACTGCTGTGATTATGCTGTTCCATACTACAGTCTGTGGTCTGGAGGACTCTACATCGTCATGTTTTCCTACCCACTGGCGGGGGAGCGTGTGGTTTGCCCACGGAGCGTGGCACTGTGTGGTTTGTGCTGTGTCTGAGACAGCAGCCATCCGCCAGCAGAGAGCAGTGCAGCCCGCTACCGGTGTTTGAGGGGCCATAAATGGGAACAAATGTCGGGAACAAAGCAGATGAGATGAGTAAGGAGGAATATGCAGTAAACGTAGAGGCAGAACTGAATGTAAATGTGAGACAGAGAGGATGCACTGAAGGAGGAAAATAATGAAGAACAGAGGCAATGCAAGATGGGCATGGGAAGAGGAAGGGAAACAAGAAAGAACTGGAGAATAGGAAAAATACAGAAAAGGGAAAGAAAAGGATAGAAAATATGCCTGGAGGATGAAAGTAAAAAGCCTTGTAAAGAGATTGTGACATTTTCCTTACCCCCTCAGCCAGAGAGTTGCAGTTCCTGGTGATGGGCACGGAGGAAGGACAGGGACGCAGAAAGTGCTGCTGCTTTTTAGTATCATAGAGTGATATATGTATGTGTTTATCTTTGTTCTGTATTGTCATTTGGATAAATTATCCCTATGTCTCCATACTGATGTTAATCTGTGATTAACAGAGGAGAAAAAAAAATACCATAAGGTGATTTTCAAAATGTTGCTCTTGGAGAGCAGAGCATTGTTTTCCATGTAATTGTTCTTACCAGGGTGCAGGAATTATGCCACAGCTTGTATAGCATTTATTCCATTTTCTCACTTTTTTTTCTGAACTCATCTGGCAGTTTAATTACATTGTACTAAGATGATCAGGTAAATTTCAGATGCAGAGTATGTTATTTCCTACTTCTAATGTCAAAAGTACATCATAATCCAGCATCATGAAATGTGTGAGGCTGTCACTGTGTGTTAGGGAAAGAAGGGAAGGGGAAAGGAGGTTGTCAGCTCTTGCAATGCTTGCAGCATGTCCACAAATCAAGTTTGTTAAGGATTCAGTTAAATGTTGAAAGCAAATGCTTCTTTCTCCTCTTCTTCCAGTAGCATCATCCCAAAGTCCTTGTAAAATATCAGCGTGTTACGTAAAATCTGCAGCTTTCTAATGGTGCTTTTGGGCTTACTGTGACCTTTGAAATCATTACAACACCCACCCCCCAAAAGCCCCCCAACTTTCCTTATTTAATTGCACATAGGAATAGGGAAACAGGAATCCAATTTATTGTTATCCAGGTGGTATTTCCTGTTACTTAGCTTTACTGGTTTGTGTATAGTAATTAGTATGTAGAAAGCTGGAAAGATGCCTGTAATTCCAAAATGAACTCTCTTTCGCTCTCTCCCTCCCACTTGCACTCTCCTTTTAGTACCGCCCCTTCCATGCACCCTTTAGCCAGCAGCAAGACAGCTGTGTTTGATCATAAACCACTTAAACTCCAGACTCACTGGCAGGGGAAACTTTAACGTGAAGTGCTGCATTGGTTTGTCCTAGGGAGGGGAGTTTTCTTCTCTTTTCCCTTCTCCCTCCCTGAACACTGAAGACTGTAGCAGCAGTCTCCTTTTAATTTCTCTGTGAACTTGCCTGAAGCTTATAAAATTTTTCTGAGTACTTTAAGAAGCATTGGGAGATGCTCTTAAACAGAGTTGTGGAAAAGAGCAGCATAAAACAGACAGCAGAGATGAAGCACGCCTTGCAGATGGACTAAGACAGCCCTGGGATCCTGGCAAGCAGTTCCTTCCCTGCATTCTCTGAGCGCTTCACAGTATTAGCAAGTCTCTTGCAGCAGTGGATTGTCTGTGAAATCAAAACCAGTTTGGCTCTTTCAGATCTTGCATCATTAATTTAAACTATCTATGTGGAGTAAAAATGGCTGTCTAGAGCAAAATGTGTAAGACAGAAAAATTTTGGAGAAGAAGGTATTGAATCAGTTGAACAAAGCTTCGAAGCATTAAAATCTGCAGAAATCATCAAGCTCTGAGAAATATAATCATGAATTCTGGAGTTGCTATGAAATATGGAAATGATTCCCCTGCAGAGCTGAGTGAGGTAAGCAGTTTCAGTGCCCTTTTTTATGCTTTAAAAAGAAACGCTCCCCTTTTGGGCTTTCAGTCTGCAAGCAATGCAATTAAAAATTAATAGAATGTGTATCTTGCTATAACTTGCTGTGCCAGTCAGGAAATGACCTGAACTTTTTTGCCGCTTTACTCTGAATAAGTGGTGAAAAGGAAATTATTGTAACCATGTAGAGACATTTTTCCTGATACCCTGCAGCATAGATTGCCTTGCCTCCCAAGCACTATGTTTATACCCAACATTCATCTTTGTAGTAGGTGAAATACGGACATCTCAGTTGAGATAAAGCAGATGGTGACTAATTTAGGAGGGAAGTGGAGTGAGTGGAAGATGGCAAATATTTATTGGTAAGGCAACATTGCCAGAAGTTGTGTTTGCTTCTATTTAGCTAAGGTGATGTGGTTTCTTTAGGTTAGATGAATTAGGTTACTTTCCTAAAAGGAAACCTAAAATTAGGTTACTTTGCCTAAAAGAAAACAAGCTATGGGAAACTTTCTGCTTTTCCATTGGAATCCACAGTAAGCTGTTATTTCTTACAGTTGTGGTTATGTCTGGTTTATGTATAACATGACTCTGTGTGTGTGTTTTTAATAAATTCAAAATTAGAGTCATATCAGATGTTATGCAAATGCTTAATAAATATTTTAGAAGTGGCATATTTTGTCAGTTACTGAAATGTCTTACATATGTCATCCTTACGGGTATAGTGAGAACTGGTAATTTAGTCATGCTATGAAATCTCTAGCATTTGATTAAGGTAATTTTGTAGACAATTGAATCTGCAGTCTGTATTGTCCCAGTTTAAGTGAAATGCTTCTCTTTCCATTTTGCCCATTTCTTTGCTACACCTTTTACTGTAACATATCCTTTGTTTACTTCATATGTTTGGGGTTTTAGCTATATTAGATAGGATATGCTTGGCAAAATGAGAGAGTTAACAATTTCTGTAGTTAATTGTACAGAGAAAGGAGGCACTGAGGTATAGAATGGAAAGTAAATCAGTAAGCTAGTAAGCGGGACAACAGTGAAGAGGGAAACAGAGTAAATTTGCGAGGGTTAGCAAGTGCAGTAGTACACTGCCATGCAAGAGAAACAGTAGGTTTGTGACTGCGCGGTTCTTGTGAAAGACATTTCATGTGTGTTACTCCTTTAAGTACAAAAGAGTTAAATTTCATTAACTCAGTGTTACTTCTTCAAATGATTGCTTAGAAATTGTGTATTGGCAATGCTGCATAAATGGAGTTCATAAACAGTGTAAAAGCCCAGGCTACTTTTGGTAGGAGTCTGCCCACTGTGTTTGTGGCTATGGTTATATTGATCTCTTGCTGATCACTGCTTTCTGTCTCCTCAACATTTAAATTTCAAGACTGCACAGGATAACATAAAACATGGAGTGTCACAAAGATTTGATACTTGGGTTGTTGTTTGGAGCAGGCAGTATTTACTCGTAGTACTTCTACCTTGAAATATTACCTATTCAAGTTTACTGCACACATCCACAAAGTAAGACTTTTATTGACAGAAATACCTTTTTCTCCTGATGTTTTAACATGAGAAATGTTGAAAGAAGTCTTTGTGCACCATACAACATTGGGTTTTTTGTTTGTTCTTTCCAACAAGCTCACTTTATTACTTTGTACTCTGGCGCTACTTAAAGAAATAAGCCCCTTTCTGACTGCAGACGTACCAGGGAAGATCTTGCTCTCCTAACTTGACCCAGCCACCAATCATAATTTCTTTGCTGCTAATCTTCATCTTTGTGAATTGAGCTTCTTGCATGAGCATGCTTTAGCCTGAGTCACTCAAAGGGCTGGGTCAGCTTCAGCACTGGTCTTGGATAAAATACTGTATTTTGAATGAAACATGGAGGCCTTACAAGAACCATCACATTTCACCTCTCACAGGGGATAAGATGTATAAGTACTCTGAGATACAGTTAGTTGCTCCCTTCTGTTCCTTATTCAACCAACTCCCTGCAATTTGTATGTTCATATTAGGCCTTTTGATGTTGGTGACTGTACCATGTTGCCTGCTGTAATTGAAAATAGAAAACCCTGGGTAGATGCTGTATGTACGGTTTGTATATCTGTGTTTCTCACCTGTTTGTCATGCTCTGCCCCTTTTCCTCCCTTCCTGACTATATCTTCTGTATGCTGTGTTTATTTTTGATCAATGGAAGAAAATAGCATTGTGTTCATTTAAACAATGGAAAAATTTAGAACTGGCTACAATAGGAGTTTGATTAAATGACTGCTGTCTTAGAGGTGCAGGTGAAAACACACTATCTCTAGAGTCAGCTCATATTTTCACATTACAGTGGCCTGCTACCAGTTTATATGTCTGAATGGCAAATATGATAACAGACCAAAAAATACTATGATTCGCGTGGTGCACAGTGCGTTTTGATGTAGGTGCCTTGATCTCTTTATCTCAGTACATGGAGCTCTAGGCATGAAAGTGCTGTTATTAAACAAGAAAACTAAAAAGCCCTGAAGATACAGTAGATGTATTCTTGAATGGATGCATTAGACAAAATAGAAAATGAAATTACTGCAACTCATTCCATTTGTATGGAAACTTTCTACTTGAGATTTACATCTCTCTTTGGGAAATGGGCAAAAATTAAGGCATATCTTTTTTTTCAAGACACAGTGTATTGTAGAAACTTGTGTGTGATTACTGTTTGCTATTCCTAAACTCTTGTTCAGGTAAACAGAGATCTTGATAGTCTTTATTTACTCCCCTCACCCCTGTCCAAAAGTCGTGCAGAAAGGAGAAAAAAAATGTGATTTCTATCATAGGTCAGTCAGACTTCTACAGGTCTTATGCTCTGTGGTTCCCTAGCTCAAGGGTTCAAGCTGTTGTTTATTGATACATGTTACTCCATTTCTTCTGCTTTTCTCTCTCTTTAACATTATCTTTCTTCTATTGAAAGAAAGAATGATTAGCCAGTATGCTGTTTGTGTGGTAGATTCAGTGTATTGTGACTGCATAAAGAGGTAGAAGAAGCATTGTTGTGACATAGCAAAGTTTGCTTAATGGTGGTGTTAGATTTGGGGTTTTTTAAATATATGATACTTTATGAGAGGCAATTAAAAAAAAAAAAATCTAGAATTTGCAGATGGCTGTTGCTATACACCATGAGAACATATGACAGCGTTTGGTACCTTTGTCTATAAATAAGTGCCCAACCAAGCTCAGTTCTACTATTATGAAGTGGGCCTTCTACCTGTCAGTATTAGGGCTTAACATGATTCACAGTTTGGTTTCTAAGGCTTGATCAAGGAAGGATGTGATTTTTATGCAATCCATGACACCCAACTTTGGTAAGTGCTCTTTGAATCCTTTCAATTTTTCAGTCATACAATACTGTAAACCTTTAATGTAATCACAAAGCATAGTTTTAAAGCCAACATCATGAATGAAAACATGTATACGTAAACAGTTTGGTACACAGAACCTGCAATTACTGTTTTTCACATAGCTAAAAATGAAACGTTATATCAGAATGTATATTCTTTACACATATTATTAATTCAGTTTTTCTGCAAAAAGAGGTATCATCTAGAAGGAGCTGGATTGTCTAATCTGTATTTTCTTCTTCCAAATTCAAAGACACTCCCTGGCTTTAAGCCCCAGCATTCTGGGGAGGTATCACTGCATACTAGCTTTATTCTTATACACTCCCCTAGCTGTCCACTGTTGAGATGGTGTGGTGAGGTGGGGAATCTGTGGTCTCACCTAGTATACCTATTGGGCTTAATGTGGTCAGCAGTTATGCCAATGCTTAATTCTGTGACAGTTTAAATTAGTAATGCAGGAACATTCAGGAAATGTAAGTACTGGACTTAATGGTCGTCTTCTCAGTTGTATACTTAAGGCTAAATTTTATCCTTGGATTAAGAGCCAAATTATGGTCTCAGATATAATTTTCATTAAAGTGAGTCTTGTGAATTTGCTGATGGTAAGATTGAGCCTAAGAGAATTTGTTGTGGGATAATGGCTGGTATTGTAATATTGCAATACATTCAGCACTTTATATGTAGTTGACTTGTATAATGTGGTTATTGTGCTCTTTTAGCATTTACTGTATAAGTTGATGGTGTATAACTTCTAAAAAGGGTATATTCTTTTCTGCACAGCAAAATTAGAAGATACCATGCTGCTTTAGGTGCATATTGATATCTTCTTCTTCTTTCTGTGTACTTGCAAGTCGGGTGTTTACAATGTGAATGTTGTGGCTTGAAGCATTAGGTACAGCTGTGTGTTGATTAACACCTTACTGGAATAAACCCTTATGGGAATAAACAGATGAGCTATTTGTCTTGGAAAAATGATCAACTTGTTTGTTTGTGTGTTTGTTTTAACAATAGGGTATTTAAAATTTTGCAAAAGGGAAGGGAAGATAGGATTCCAAGTTTATATTTGTGTGGGAAGCAGAATAGTGAGTTTATGAAAGGTTTCACCAAATCTTGTATGTGATGCCAGATGTGAAGAAGTAAAAAGAGAGACAAGTTTGAAAGGCTTAAATGGTGATGACTTTTATAATTTTATGGTAGGACAATACTGCACTTTCTTGTTCCACTGCTGCTATACTTAGAAATTATACTTTGAGGAAAAAATTATGTAGAAAAACAATATAGAAAGAAAAGGCTTGAAGTTGTGTGTATGAAGCCAGTGAGTAAGTCTGAGGGGAGCTGCAGGGTGAGTTGGGTAACCAGCAGAAGAGCAGGATATTGGGCCAAGCCTCACTGGCAAGGGAAAAGTTCAACAGTGGCAATCCCCACCCTGAGGTACTTTTCCATGTGTGTGTCTCTGTTCTTTTAGAACAGGCATCAGCTTGTGCTTGCACTGCATGTATCTGTGATGGAATGGGAACAGGTTTTGCATGCATTCAAGGCTAGGATTAAATCTCAAACACTTGTTTCATCTCCCTGTGTTTGGTCGTCTCATTAAGACAGTCAGTGAGTGAA